TAAAGGAATTAACTGGACACAATTACACATACATAAAATGAGCATTGTACTGTAAATGTTATATGTTAATTTCTGAAAAATACCCAAGGCTATAGCCCATCGGTTTTTTCCAAAAAATGGCTCCGAAATCACCCCAAATTTTTATTACATTCTCTGATACATGTTGATGCCCTTATGCTGTGTAGAAAGTTTGAGGTGATTCCGACTTCAATTTTTCAAGTTATGGCCATTTTAAGAAAATGTCAAATTTCTGAAAAATACCCAAGGCTATAGCCCACGGTTTTTTCCAAAAAATGGCTCCGAAATCACCCCAAATTTTTATTACATTCACTGATACATGTTGATGCCCTTATGCTGTGTAGAAAGTTTGAGGTGATTCCGACTTCAATTTTTCAAGTTATGGCCATTTTAAGAAAATGCCAAATTTCTGAAAAATACCCAAGGCTATAGCCCACGGTTTTCTTCCAAAAAATGGCTCCAAAATCACCCCAAATTTTTATTACATTTTCTGATACATGTTGATGCCCTTATGCTGTGTAGAAAGTTTGAGGTGATTCCGACTTCAATTTTTCAAGTTATGGCCATTTTAAGAAAACGTCAAAATTCTGAAAAATACCCAAAGCTATAGCCCACGGTTTTTTCCAAAAAATAGCTCCAAAATCACCCCAAATTTTTATTACATTTTCTGATACATGTTGATGCCCTTATGCTGTGTAGAAAGTTTGAGGTGATTCCGACTTCAATTTTTCAAGTTATGGCCATTTTAAGAAAACGTCAAAATTCTGAAAAATACCCAAAGCTATAGCCCACGGTTTTTTCCAAAAAATGGCTCCAAAATCACCCCAAATTTTTATTACATTTTCTGATACATATTGATGTCCTTATGCTGTGTAGAAAGTTTGAGGTGATTCCAACTTCAATTTTTTGAGTTACGGCCATTTAAAAAACCGGTAAAATTCTGAAAAATACCCAAGGCTATAGTCAATGGTTTTTTCCAAAAAATGACTCCAAAATCACCCCAAATTTTTATTGCATTTTCTGATACATATTGATGTCCTTATTCTGTGTAGAAAGTTTGAGGTGATTCCGACTTCAATTTTTTGAGTTACGGCCATTTTAAGAAAACGTCAAAATTCTGAAAAATACCCAAGACTATAGCCCATGGTTTTTTCCAAAAAATGGCTCCAAAATCACCTCAAATTTTTATTACATTTTCTAGTACATATTGATATTTTTATGCTGTGTAGAAAGTTTGAGGTGATTATCATGTTATTTTTTATTATTGTTATTATTATTATCATCACTATTATTATTATTATTATTATTATTATTATTATTATTATTATTTTCTTCAGATTATTGATGGAAACTTACAAGCCCGTGTTAGTCTAGGAGGAGGAAGAGAGACACGCCTACTAATTAATAAAACTTGTATCAATGACGACAGAGGTCACATGATTACATTCACTCGTAAAGAAGGAGCCATGACCCTAATACTAGACGATACCTATACAGCTAAGAACTACTTACCAACCACCAACAACATCAGTAATGACGTATTGCTGGATGTATCCCATCTATCAGTGGGTGGGGCTAACACCTCTAATGGGCGTGGCTACACTGGTTGCATACGTAAAATGAGATTAGATGGATATGATATTCCAGTTAGAGGAGAGAATGAAGCTTACAAAGCTAACAGTGACACCAGTATAGAACAATGTCCTGATATTGAAGAACCCACTCCACCTCCAATCAGCACCAGCCCTATCAGCTCACTGTATGTAGTAACTGGTCTGGCACTCCTTGGTTTATTATTAATATCAGTGTCTGCCCTGTTTGTGTGTAAGTCAACTCACTACTGGTACAATAAGAAGAAAGGAACTGTCTCTATCAGTGAGAGACGGTTCATAGACTATCCATCTACTCTACCTTCTTCCACTGTTAGTTCTGTCGTTAACAGTAGAAGGACCTTTGGACTACAAAGTACTACCTCTTTTGAGCCACTGGACGTAACGGGTCGCTATGGATACGAGGCATACCGTCCACTCTCTCCTCGACCACCTTCACCATTACTGTTCCCACCCTCCGAACTAAAACCATCTGTTACTGAAGCTCCACCCATTTCTCGACCCACTATAGCCCCTCCCACAGTACGTAATGATACAAGGTCTCCGTCCTCAGCCTCTGATTCAGTATTTGAAGTATTTAATGAGTACGAGTTGGGACCTGCCTCTCCGCCCCCTCGTGATAATAATAAACTAGCCACACCTCCTTCTCCTCCCTCCCTCCCTCCTCCGTCTCCTCCTCCCCCTCCCCCTGTCTCCTTCCCTCCCTCTGTTGTATCCAAATCCTCTGAGGCCCTTGATCCAATGACAGGTATGCCGGTATCACATGACGCCAGTCAAGAGAGTCTCACCGCCCACACTGAGGACGATGGACGGAGTACACTGGTCGATGGTGAGGACATTGGTCGATACGTTAAGAAGAGGTTAATGTGTGCTGATATACTAGTTAATGATATTAATTATGATGCTAGTACATCCTTTGATACTGAGGGACCTTATAGTCCATTAGGATCAATAGGATCACTGTATGACATACTCCAGGATAATGATACTAATTATAAATATAATAATAATGTGTTACAAGATGAGTCTGCCCCTCGCTCTATTAAAACTCCTCCCACTCAAATATCTCATTTATTATCAGTTCCTACTAGTCCTACCAGTCCTAAGAGACCCAGTCCATTATTACAATCAAGACAATGGAGGGACAATAATGGCGTCCCTCTACCACCACCTGTTAGACCAAAACCACTGAGGAAGAACCAGACCACTTCAACTACTGATATTGATGTGTCCATTGGTGTATCTAAAGTAGCTGTAACTGATAGTGGAGGAGCTACTGGAGGAGCTGTACCCAGTTCTAAGGATCTATCAAGTTCTGCTCCTCCTCCAGTACCAGTTAAAAAACAAGCTACTAAACCTTCTCCCCTCTCTCCTCCATTATTTCAAGCTGTTAGGTTACAACCATTATCAGTAACAAGCTCCCTTCATCAGTCAAGTAGAGACAGACCCCTCCCTCATGGACCCAGTGTTGCTCCTTCCACTGATAATAAACGTGTTCTTGTTCCTGTCAAGTTTTCATCTCCCAAGAGGTCATCAGGTGATACAGTAAAGACTACAAGAGGAGGTGGTTCCTCCATACAAAACAGAGCAACTCAGAGAATGAACAACTTTACTGGTGAATTCAATACATCACAAGAGAGTGATGTATAACATTATACCAGTTTGTATGTTCTATTGTATACACACATTAATTTTATTGTTGTTAATCAAGTTATGTTTGTTGAGTTTTTTTAATAATAATTCATTTAAAGATGTAACCAGCTGTAGGGTAGTTGTGCCGATGATTCCTGTTCACTATAATACAATGAACTGAGAATTGCTTTCAACAGCCATTATGATCATAAATATTATCAACTCTCAACAGGGCAACAGTTAACAGTAACTACTGTAACTTACAATTACTTACTAGGTGTTATTAACATCAATACCTAACTATATCTGCTGTGTGTAACTGTATGTATGGGATTCACAGCTTGGTACATCATGATAGTTGACAAAATAAATTATTTTTTTCCAAAAATAGCACCACCAATAAAAGTGCTGATCATAAAAATCAAATTTAAGTAATATTAAAGCTCAATCAATTCTAATAAAAAAAGATATTACAATTGCACATAATAATAATATCAAAGAAGCAATGAAAATTAGTGCAAAGCTTTTAGGAGCAACTTTGAGATGAGTTAAGGAAGAAGATTTAGCAGGATGGAAACTAGATGACAGGAATTTTTCCACATCAGATTTTGCTCTTCCAAGTTCATCCGGATAATCTTTACAAACTTGAAGTGCTTTCCTCCAGGTCACATCTTTATCTGAATCTATCCATCTCTGGAACACAAGAATAAGGTTATCAGAGGTATACTGAGGAAGAGCTACCAGATCGTCTACTTTAACATCAAGTGCAGTACCAATAATTTTACTGTGAACTGCAGAATCTTTGAATAACCTAAGGAGGTCACTCTTTAGAGGCCTCTTGTCTAACAGGTCTGTAGTGAATAAAATAGATAATAATAAAAACAGCAACGATAATAATAATAATAATAATACTCCCTTACTTTGTGTTCCATTGTTACCCTCATCAGGTCCTATACACAAGTGATAAATTATAAATAATAATTATTAGTATACACATACCTGATTCAAACCAGTACCAATGATCACTACTGATAGTAGCTGACACTGGACAAACTGTACAATTGACAATATTACCATCTTCCCTGGGTCTAACAATACAGTAGCAGCTACTCCTCTTTGAAGGGCAAGCAAATGCATTGACGTAATTATGCTTGAGGTGCATGGCATCACTGCTATTATCAATAGCTGTTGTGAGTAGCTTACATACTAATGGACAGTGCTGGGTAGGACCAGTAAAGTACACTTCAATATGAGTGTAACGGTTGATGAGGTGAAGTGTGTGCTTTGATGTGATCGTTATCTTGAGGGACATGGCATCTCGAAATTTATGATACCCTGACGTTGATTGAGGGATTTCAGTAACGTATTCTTTCTGGTTGAGTAGGTGTACAATGGTTAAAGGGAACAATC